TATTGGTGATCTGAATGGTTGGTTTCAGTCATAGCAATTACGCTCCAACCTGGAAGTGCCAAGACATTATACAGCAATGTGGAAGTGCCATAGAGCAGGTGAAGCATACTGTAAGGTGAAGACCCTTATCACGTGTGAGGTGACTGAGATATAGATACAGATGATAACAGCTTGAAGACAAAGAGGAGGCTAATGAAGCACGGGGACAAGGTGGAGAGTTCAGCAGCGAGTCCATCATTAGCTGACGAGCTGCTAATGATCCATCTATACAGTCATACCGATGCATAGGGTCTCTAATGGGGAGGGGAGCACATGCTAGAGGGGGGGCGGTTTAACAGGGAAAGTGTGCACATTTACAAAGAGGACACACTGAGGGGAGATCAACAGATTGTAGGCTGCTGCTTGGAGATAAAAAGAAATGTCTGCCTAACGTAAGAAGATAAAGAGAGAGGGGGGGGGGGGGGTCATTAAATACGCCTCTTATCCTGTAGCAAATTATCAAATCAGGAGGGTCTGCGTGGCCTTCAGTCCATATTCCCATTCCTGTAGTGCTTAATTCATTTTGCTTGGGCACTAATAGCTTCTTTATAATTGATTGACCCCTTAGCCTTCCTATCATCCTTGAATCCTGTTCCACCTGCTAGAATAACAATTGCTTTTTTTCCTCCAATTGACTCCCTGCACACACACAACACTAATTACAGTCTGTACTAATGGCATATCATTTTCATCTGCACAGCTTTGTTCTGCTGGACTAACTAGTTGTGCATTTACATCAGACAAGTGATCCATTCACATCGCAGCTGGAGTTAGTCTGGAGTCACTTACAGATGCAATGCTGTCTGACTCTCACGGGCTACTACTTGGGGCAGTGTTTTAATGACTGGATACACACACACACACACACACGCACACACACACACACGCACACACACACACACACACGCACCCTGCTGAACCCATCATGTCTGCAGGCTGTGGTCAGAAAAACACCTCAAACACTGATATGAAGCCACATGCACTGCTGACCACTGTGTCATCGAACCACAAGTGGAAGCTGCCCTTTCTTTTACCTCTAAACTGTGTTAATCATGCCCAAAAAAAAGCACATTAATACACGTTATCCTCCTATTAAAAAAGGCCATTTGCAGATGCGGTTGTTCTCAAAGCGCACGGATTGGTTGATGGGATATTGTACCTCATTATCACTTACTGCAATGTTGCAAAATGCAGTCTTAACAAACTCACCTAATTTCTCTCAGTGTCCAGGTTAATAAGAAAGTTGTGGAAATGCATGCAACCAATGCAGTCCCTCACGCTCCGACAGACAACAGGAGCATGAGCACCGCACAGTGTCTGAGGAAACATGCCATGATAAAAGAGACATTTTAAGTGATGACAAACACACTGTCCCTGCAGAATGAATGAAACGAGACAAACATGTTTGCGCATTTGCACCTTACCTTTGTCAACACAGGCCGTCCAGAATCTCCTGCAGGATAATCCTCTGAATGTCAATGCCACTGCTTTTGTGCCTCGATAATGTCACAAGTCAGGTTTTTTTTTTTTTTTTTTATCGTACAGGACAATACTTGGATAGTAGGGTCCCATTCACTGTAGAGTCCTCCTGTTTCGCTGTGTCTGTGGCTGCAGAGGCATCAGGGAAACAGGCTGCACATGCATGAGAGAGGGGGGGGAAACCCGGCATGGATCTCATCTGGATCTGCAGAGCTCCACTTTGGATGCAACATAAAGCAATTAAGAGATAGTTTTTAGCTAAAAAATACAAAGTTATAAGCAGCCTAGGCTTCAGTTTAGGTAAGCCTACTTGTTTCAGGGATTATCACGTAAAAGAGAGGTACAATTGGAAACAGGTGCATTTAGTTGGCAGGTTGAGGCTAATGGCTAAATGCTAATAGCTAATGTTATTTCCTACATGTTTCAATTTAAAACCCCAATTGTTGATTCAAAGACCCCAAATTGATAACTAATATACTGTAATGATTTAATATAAATCAATTACTCGCATTTTTTGTAATATAAGCCACATTTTTTTCTCATGAGAAATTAGCTAAATTCATCCATGGGGGAAGGATAAGCATTTAGGAGGAAGACCTTAGAAGAAATGTGAAGTGTACAGTAGCCTGGGCTTAGTATACGCAGTTAATTCGACTAATACTTACTTGTGTTGGTGTTGCAGATTGATTATCACGGTAAAAAGAGGATTAACCACAGGTGCATTTCATTTGTTGCCAATTGACACATGGCTAATGGCTATATGCTAAAGGCTAATGTTACGCCTACATGTTTTTAACTCAAAGCTGCAACGTTTTTAATTCAAAGCCCAAACAATAAATAACTAAATATATTGAAATACATATATCAAATGTGTATTAGTGTAACTATATTTAAAATACATCCACTGACTTACCTGCATTTGTATAGATATTAGCCACACGTCCTCCTCATAACAAATCCATCCATGGAGGAAGAAAGCCCTGTGGAAGGCTAATGAAGTAAATAGACCTTAAGTCTGATGTTTATATATATATATATATATATATATATATATATATATATATATATATATATATATTGGAATTCTTTAATACATTTAAGACAAAGTGGAAGAGAAGACCTAAAATGCCTCAGAAAATATACATTTGTACATTATATAAAATTAGACATATTCATCTACTGAAGAGGAGCTTTTTCATATAAAAAATATATATATTCTGTGTAATTTCACTCACTTTCATAATGTTAATTTGTCTTTATGTTAGGTCAAATTGTTAACTGTAATTGTCATTAACATCAGCACAGTCTACATATCTTCTCTAAACAATCTAAAACTCCCCTGTTTTGCTTGTACCATGGTAATTAAACCCAACCCAAAAAAAGGTTTGGATTATTTAAAGTGAATATATCTGGATTTGTCTTGTTGTTGTGAGCTTGTATCCTAACGGTTTATTGCACCTATTGTGAGTTGCTTTGGATAAAACCGTCAGCTAAATGTTATATAATCAATTTAAACCCATATTTCACAATGTGACATGTTTGTCATGAAGTATGGGATCCTTCAGTGCAGTTTTTAACATCCCAATCAAACATTGTGTTGTACTCTCTCTGTCTCTTTTACACACCCACTCACAGACACACACACACACACACACACACACACACACACACACACACACACACACACACACACACACACACACACACACACACACACACACACACACACACACACACACACACACACACACACACACACACACACACACACACACACTTCTCCCATCACTCTGCCTCTCTCTTGCAGAGATCCTGATGAATGACTGGAGGCTACTCTGCTGGGAGAGAGCAAGAAAGAGCAAAGGAGGCTGTGCTCTGTGGCCGCCGGGCAGCCTGGATCCAATAACAAAGTTCAATGGTATAACCCGGCAACAGCAGCACAGGCATAAAGAAAATTGGGCTTACTGGGAGTGTGTTAGCACAGACTCTGGGTGGTAAGGCTTCAAACAAATCAGTTATGCATTCAGAATCATAATACCTTTATTAAGCCCACAGAGGAGACAGCAACGAACGATACGATATACTTTATTGTCCCCATAAGGGAATGTGTTGTGGACTCCATCCTGTGGTTCAGAATACATGTACATATACAAACATAATAAACATTAAAATACATGCACATATCATCACTCATACACCGTTTGAACAAACACAGACGCACATACTAACATACATATCAACAGTGTCCAAACTCTGCTCCTGCAACATAGTAAAGCTCATAGTAAAGAGCCATACTATTAACTAAGAGGCATGCATAACATATTAGAGATATCAATGACATGATAGCGTTTTGTATGTGACACTAAATAATGACTCTACATGGAGACATTATCAGGGGATTCACTGAAGCCTGGAGCTTTTTCATCAAGCAGCAATCAACTATTTATTGGTGGCAGTCGGTCAATAATAAAGGCCTTCCCTTAAAAGTGTCCGTGAAATCAATATTCCCCAGAGAGAGGTGCAGAGGAAGAGGACAGAAATAAGCAGAGGTGTAATGACTGGTTGCACTGTATGCAAATAAGACTGGTGTTGCAAATGCAGTATTATGAATGAACCAGTGCAATATACTATATCAGAATATATCAGAAACAGGTTTATAACCAAGTTTATTAACAAATAAGAGGAATTTGCCTAGGTGTATATGGTGAACGCATAAACACAGTAAACGAAGGAGATCAATTGTATGAAAAGGACTATTAAAACGTTAAAATATAGAGCAATATTTACATCAAATGTCTCCCTTTTACTACCCCCTTTTGACCTTTAACTGTAATGGTTCAATCCCGACTATCCGAGCATGATGACTGATTTTTCCTGTGGGAAAACTTAACTGTCACCCAAGGGCTGACTGCAGTAAATCTCTGAGAGCTGTCCTTAAAGAGCAATGCTCTCCGTAGAGTCAAAAAAGGAAGGTGTGTGTGTGTGTGTGTGTGTGTGTGTGTGTGTGTGTGTGTGTGTGGTGTGTGTGTGTGTGTGTGTGTGTGTGTGTGTGTGTGTGTGTGTGTGTGTGTGTGTGTGTGTGTGCGTGTGTGGTGTGTGTGTGTAGGGTTGGGAGGGTTACTTAAAGAGGCCCTATTCTGCTTTTTGGGGTTATCCCTTTCCCATAGTGTATTATAAAGGTTTTAGTGCATGTAAATGGTCTGCAAGGGCTAAAAGCAGAGGTCCCAGAGGGATGGCATAATAGGGCTCCTTTAAAATTCACATCAGTTTTGATCTTTATGCACTAAAATATGATTAAATAACTATTTTTCCAACAATCTTAAAAACCCACCATTTGTCCAGCGTAGTATAATTCGGATTTCCTTCAAAAACCCTTAAAATAAATATAGAGAAACTTCCTTTTTACGTCCATTTATTTGTATAAAAAGCTGTGTGTGTTGTTGTGAAACAAGGAAGGCTTTAAGGTTTTTAAATGTAAGAAATATTATCTGTGTGTCTTTAAGGGAACTTGTGCTGGTGCAGTGAGTCCCTACGGAGGCATGTGTGATCTTATTTGCGTCACAGCATCTTGCAAGAACACTGTACACACACACACATTGTACACACACACACACACACACACACACACACACACACACACACACACACACACACACACACACACCACGCTAGCCTACACATCAAAGTGTGTGAAATAGCTTGATCAACATTCGCCTCGAGGCTGAGAAACACAGATATGCTTGTTGGAAATAAATAAGATCCCCGAGGCTTGTCAACCAAGCAGTTCAACAAGATTTCAAATAAATGTGTTTACTTAAAGAAGAACTGCAGTGTTTTTTCATAAGGCATTTTACATTTCAGATTAATTGTGAGTGACTGCATGCATGTTGTCAGACAGCTGAATCCAGTCCATGTTTTATGTCTCTCCTTCTCTCTGTTTCTCCCTATCTCTCTTTGGCTCAGCATGCAACAGCCAGCCATTTATCAATAATTCATAGCAAAGGAGGTAGTTGCAAACATATGAAATATAACACAGAGAGGGCAAAGTTACTGTTAGATTACTTTCCTGTCACAATCACCATCAATTCATACTTTGACAGTTTGCTATAGCCTTAAACGGTTCAGCTCTCTTTTAAAAAACCACCAGGAAGAAGCCATTTAAAAGCTTGTTAAATATGCATTACTTCTTTAAGCTTTACACATATTTACTCAGTCGACAGAGTGATATTGTGGATTATAATTACACAGCAAATTATTTGATTAATCAAATTTACCAGGCTGGTAGATGAAGCACGGCCATATTAATGTAAATTATCATATCATCATATTTGTACACTAAACTACATCTAGTAGCTTGTTAGCTTAGATTAGCATACAGCTAGCAAGGTAAAACAACTAGCTTAGCACTCAGTGCTTAACAAAACAATAACAAACAATAATGTGTTGAGTAGATGGCTTTAAAAGGTACTAGAAGTCAGTTCTTATATTAACTTCACAGCGTGCAATGCTAGCTTTTTCAACTTGCCTCATGTCTTTATGCTAAGCTAAGCTAAAAGACTGATAGCTGCAACTTTAGCTAACATGTATGGTATCACACCTCATTGTCAGCAAAATAAAAATGTCCAAATAAATTCACACTGTCTTTTACATTTTCTATCAAACTGTCATTCAGTGAGAGCGAGCGATGCTAGCTTTGTCTGTTAGCTTAGCTTAGCATAGGCCTACTGCTAGCAGGGTGAAACAACTAGCCTAGCACCCTTGGCTACTACTCAATTTCAGCACTAACACATTTTGCAAAGAGCTTTACATGTATTGACTCAGTCCACAGAGTTATCTTGTGGATTATAATTACACTTCAATTGATTTGATTAATCAATTAACCAGGCTGGCAGATAAAGCACGAGCCATATTAATGTTAAATTATTAATTATTCTATCATTATACATTCTGCTGAGCTGCCATGTCAAATACAGGCTGTGAAACCTAATGAGTGTGCTTTAAATACCAGTCAAATAACACTAGGAAACATTTTACTTGTGGAGATGAATGATATAAAATGAATCTGCGTTGCATAACATCCCAAATAAAGGGTTTGCGCTTTAACGTCCCATCTTGTCCTTCCTCCTGCTGAATCTCGCTGAACAATTACCGATTTGAGAGATTAGCAGTTTGTCTCAGCTGTGAGGCGAGGCGGGATGAAATCACTTTCCCTGGATGGACCGTAAGCACATTCCCACCCAGCATTTTCGATCGATGCCCATGAAACAGCCCAGAGGGACGTCTGCAAACCTTTGATGTTCCCTTGAAGACTCTATCGCTTTTTTTGACTTGATTTAATTCCGGCCTCTTTGTTTGAAGCAAATTAAATCCTGCCTAAAAAAGTGACATGTAAACATCGGTGTCTAATTCCAACCTTGTGTGAACATTTTAATGCAAAGAGCAGATGGTGTTAAATTAAGGAAAATTGAACATGTTGCATTTCCTAATTATCCAATTAATGTTGCAGATATTTTAGCCCAAGAAAATCAGTACATGTACTCATACACATATATTTTTTATTTAATTTTTTAATTTCTTTATTAAGGAGTGCAGATTTAACAGACAATACAACACTTTTTCACATTTCCTGGTTTTGGTTTTCTTATTACAGGAAATTGCACTACTACCCCTCCTAACACATATCTTTTTAAGGCAAGGCAAGGCAAGGCAAGGCAAGGCAAGGCAAGGCAAGGCAAGTTTATTTATATAGCACCTTTCAACACAAGGCAATTCAAAGTGCTTTACAAAAATGGAAGACATTATGAAAATGGCATTTAAAATCAGTCATTAAAAGAAAAGATAATAAAATAAACATTAAAAGAAAAAATACATGGATGAAAGTTAAAAGTTACAGTGCAGTTTAAGATGTGAATAGTTCAATTAAAAGCAGCGGCAAAAAGAAAAGTCTTCAGCCTGGATTTAAAAGTAGTAAGAGTTGCAGCG